TTGGTGTTTAAGCCTTCGCTCTTGTGACAATATAGCCAAAAAACCAGTCAAATATTCAATACACAAGAAAGGGCAGAAAATTCACAGAGAGTGGAAGGCCAGCCTGGGCTATGACATAGAGTTCAGAGCAAGTCTGAGCTACTATCAAGACACTGTTTCCATATAAAATAGAATAGAACAGAACAAAACAAGAAGATTATTGGTAGATATGTTTAACATTCCCTTGGTTAGAAAACCAGATCCAAAATTAGACCATACTCTATCCTGTAGCTACTTAGTGATAATGGGGACTGTTCCTTTATAAGGAGTCAGGCCCTGTTCTAAGGTCTTTACAGGTATTAACTCATCTGATCCTTGGGATCCTGTGAGAAAGGTGCTTATTTCATCCATTGACATAATAAAGAAGCAGGACCCAGAGAGGCTCAGTCATTCAGCCAAGACCCCCAGCCAGCCAGTGAGTATAAAACCATCATGTAAACCAGAAATCTAGGTCCAGGTGTTCTGTTAAGGCCACACTGCCTTATACAAGACAGCAGTAAGAATGTCACCCCTCAGGCTAGGTGGTGGTGGCAAACACCTTTAATCCTAGCACTCAGAAGACAGAGGCGGGCAGATCTCTGTGAGTTCAAAGCCAGCCTGGTCGACAGAGCTCCAGGACAGCCAGGGCAGACACACAAACACACAGGCACAAAAACATACGCAACAATAAAAAAGATAAGAAAAAAGGAAAAAAGAAAATCAGGAAGGATGTTGATAAGCAGTGAATAAGCAGGAAGAAGCGTTTTGGGAGAAGGGCAAAAACATGTACAAAATCCAGTATAAGAGGCAACATCAGTTCTGAGCTAAGGCAGGCAAGGAAAAGGGTTTGGGAAATTACTCTGAGAGGGTCAGAGGACTGCACACTGCAGAGGTGCGCTCACAACCTTCCTAGTGTCCAATCACACAGAAGAGAGGCATGGAATCTCATTCAGTTCATTTCTTACCTTTTCTGAATGAGTCCAGGCTGAGCATTTCTGGTCAGGAGAGAAAGCTGGAATCCTGAGAAGGAGGGTCAAAAGGCCATGAATGCTGATTACTATCCCTGGTTCAGGAATCTGCAAAGACTGCAAGAGCACAGACATTATCCAGAAGACAAAGGAAATGAAGCTGAAAACTAGTGAGCCCCACCACTGCTCCCCAGGCTTAAGAATTCAAAGGCTAAGCCAGGGGGTGGTGGAGAGCACTGTTAATCCCAGCACTCTTCAGGCAGAGGCTGGTGGATCTCTGTGAGTTCAAGGCCAGCTTGTTCTATTGAGCTAGTTCCTGGGCAGCCAGGGCTGTAAAGAGAAATTCTGTCTTAGAAAATCAGGACAAAAAAAGGATGAGAAGTCCAACTCTCCACTCTGTCCTCACTGCTTTCTAACTGATAGCTTTGGCCTTTTGCGGTAATAAAACTCCCGAAGCCTTAAACAAGAAAGCAATAAAGGGTGGCAAGACAGACACAGTTCCACCCAGCTACAACACTTGGAGATTTTCTTGGGCTTTCTAAGAAGAAACTATATTCCATATGGGCCTTCTACAGCAAGTGGTCTCAGGGAACAGGACTAAGGACTTTCTAACAACAAAGTGGCTTACTGGGCTTTTAGAAAACTTTTAGAAAACCTAGTTCAGCCCTTTGGAATGAGAACTGACTAAGAGTTCCGGTCAAAGGATGACCATGTGTGGGACCGTGATAGGATGGATTCGGTTTTGGTAGAAGCGCTGGCTGGAAAAAGCCCAGAGACCCAACAGGTGTCCATGCCTGTGAGGGACGGGCATCTGTTCCACCGCGCTCCCAGATTCCAGGCTCCTGACGCAGTCTAAGATCTCCATTGACCCGTGATTTTCAGTCACATAGGGCAATCCAGCCCCTCCCAAGAGGTCTGTGTCACCTAGCACAGTAGTGGGCATGACTACAGGCCTCAGCCTCAAGAGATATCCATATTAATGAGATACCTAAAGGCCAGAGGGTGTAGCTAATTACGTATTCTTTTCACAGGCCCTCCTCCCTCCCTATTTAAGTCAGGTCTGCCCTGACCTAAGAGGGGGGGGAGGTGCATTCAGATTCAACTACCATCCGCTATGAAAATAAAGCCGTTTGTAACCATGGATTCCCCTGTGTCTTTTGGGGCCCGCTGTGGGGAACAGTGGAGAAGGCCTTTAATGAGCCACTGTCTGCCACCCTGAGGTCCTCTCTGCATTCCACCTCGAAGGCCCGCCTCTTCAAGCAAGCCAGCCGAGCAGCCGCCTTTCAGCCAATCGAGTAAAGTATAGAATCCCTTTTCCACGGGGTGCGGTCCGGGCTTCCCTCTCTCTCTCTCCCTCATTTGTCTTGGATGCGGGCTGGGCATGCCCCCACGCCCACAGTTTCAGTCCTTCCACTGCCTCTCAACGGTGTCAGAGAGCCCAAGAGCTTGAGACCATTTGGTCCCCATCCGCCTCCTGGCCCAGGAATCCCCAATTCAAGAGCCCCCCCCCCCCCCCCCCCCCCCCGCAAAACTTCAGACTGAGATTCTGTCATGCCAGGACAGGAGCCCCGCAGCATCCACCCGGTGCTGCGTGGAGGGAACCCAGTTAAATTCTCCCACTTCCGCCTCTCTGAGCCGTGACAGATGTGCGGGAACCAACACCGCCCAACAGAGATCCAGGCCCACGCACCCACGCTCCCCACAACCATGTAATAAAGTTTCATAATTTAAAAAGTTTTTTATGACGAAATCTCTTTGAAATGCATGGTAAATTTCTAAGTAATAATTGCTAATGGTGTTATTAATAATAAATTATTAATACTACATTAGAGCACAGCTACTGGCCAGAAGTCTTGATGTCTTTCTTTTATTCCCAAGGCAGGGTTTTACTATAGAGCTCAGGCTAGCTCAGACTATCCTATTTCAGCTCCTGAGCACTGGGAGTACAGGTACACACCTCATACTCAGTGTTTTGGTACATTCTACCGATTAGTACATTCTTCCTTTCATTTTTTTTGTTAATTTGCTTCACTTTCTGAACTGTGATCCTCTTACATCTGCCTCCCAAGTGAAAGAACAACAAGTGTGTGCCACCATGCCTAACTTTTATTAAAACATTTAACTGAGGGCTCTATTTAGAGAGTACAGGAAAAGTAACACTTGTAATTCAGTAATACTGTTTTGTAAAACATTCAAACTCATATTTAGAGATCTTCATAACAATAGCACTCCTGGAATAGAATTAGGTCCAGTAACCCTTGCTAAATTTAGGTGTTGTTGTTTTTAACTCTACATAATGTTTTGTACCTTAGGTTAACGTGCTAGGAGACTGGGAGGGCCATGTGGAGGACAACTTGAAAGAGCCAGTTCTCTCCCCACACCACGGGGACCCCAGGAATTGAACTCAGGTCATCAAGCTTGACCGCAGCTCCCTTTACCTCCTTTATCACCAGCCACTACCTCCATTTTAGTAGTTTCTACACATTTCTGACTTGCTCTTAGTATGTCTCATGGCAAACTCAACAGTGTCCCTCCTGCTCCAGGTCCTCAACTCCTGTTGGTCAGGCCACCTTTTACCACTAACTAGATTTAAATGTCTTAAAGTCGTCACTTTTCACCTGTATTCAGTGCCTGTGTCCTCTAATTCTACGTCTACATGTCCCTCCCCCCATCAGATCTTCTCTGCACCGTTAATGTGTGCCCTTTTTAAGTCAACAGATACCCATCAAGCTCACTTTTGGCACCCAGTTTCTCCACTCCTACCTAACTTTGATGTCAGAATCAGATGAGCTTTATGTAGCTTGGCTCTTGGTCTATTGTTTTGCTCCTCAAACTTTCGATGGTTTTCTGTTCTCAGCAGGTTAAGATCAACGGCTTATCACAGCCTGTGAAACTCAGCTCAGCTCACTTGCTTCATCCTGCAGGGTTCCATTCCCTCTCCACTTGCATCCAACCTCAGCTTTCTGCTACCTCTGCCTTCCAGATGCTCCCCATCCTTCAGGGTCAGCTCTCACGAGCCTAATGGATGAATCAATTTCCAATTCATTTAATCAGCTGCACTCTCACTATTTCTGACTTACTTATTTATGTGTGTCTTTTAGATTCCCACTAATATTGTTATTAATATATTATTATAACATGTTATTATTGGACTACGCTTCTTATTCTAACCTTGAATTATAATTGTCTCATTTAAGAGTGTTATGCCTGAAATTTTTAGCACTAACTTGTTCTAATATCGGCACTTGTTGAATAAATCAACAATTAGAACTTATATTTGAGTCACCAAATTTTATAGCATTCATGCATTATTAAAGTTCAAACATTTAATTGCAGATAATGCTGAAAAGGAGGAACAGCCATAAGAATGACTATCTAAGTAATACTTTTTTTAATCTTTCTGTTCCAAATAGCAGATAAGTGCTGTTAAACAGTGAGCATGCTTTGCATTAGATACTTTCAGTTTTCTTCCGTAAATTCTTCTTATAATATTTTTAGCCAATTTAGCTTGCTCAAACTCATGTAATGCGATGTCTTAGTTAAATTAGGGGAGATAATACCTTAAAATCGTGAATTCTCAGCTTCTCCACTTTTTTAATCCCATAATGGCTATGATACCAAGCTATCTAAAATGATACTTCCAGACTGGGAAAATTGCAATCTCAAATATCTCAAAAACATTTTTAGTTTACAAAGAACACCCATATACTTGACCTCCTCTAGCCTGTGCAGGAACCGCACACATGTAGTACCCATGTATACATGCAAGCAAACATTTATCCACATGAAATAGAAATAAATCTTTTTTAAAAAAGAAATTCACATAAAATGATTTAATCCTATCCTGAAGGATAGGACATATTAATCACAGAAGGACTACTTAGTATAAGGACTACTTCTGACTTGTCTAATGCAGTTCTGTTTTTTTATTGCTACAGGTCCAATTCCTGGCAGCTCATGCAGACCTAGTCCCTACCTTCCCCTTCCAATAGCATTGGCTGCTCCCCCTTCCAGTTCCATGAAGCCACGATTTATAATGCTGTCAACAGCTCAAGCTGGACAAGGATCACCATCCAGCTGCCGGACCACGTCTCCTCAAGGTGTGTTGTCTTCAGAGGTAAGTCTCGTGGGGCTGACTCCTCAGCAGGCTCCAAACTCTACCATCACACACTCACCATTACTTCTTCATAGCTTATTAATTGAAGCTGAGAAATCGTTGAACTTTACAATACCCTGATTTCACTGTTTGCATAAACTATACCCAGTCTTTAGAGTCAGTCATCTAAGTAACCTGTGTTTAAAGAGACCTGATAAATAAGTAATTTATTCATGCCTCTAACTATTTGCTTCATGCTGTTCAATTGTAATAGGCAGATGATCTGAATATACTCCAACTGGTATCTGAACTCCTAAAACACATTAGCAGTGGTGGAGGGAGCCTGGCATGGGGCGTTTCCCTTGAGATAGCTGTCTAACACCATCTCTATGATAACTTAATTGTATTATGTTAAGTCAATTGATTCTGTGTATGTTTCTAGTGAGAAGTTACTTAAACCCATTCTTATGCATGCTGTATAATTTGGGCTTAGAGGTTAAATATTTGTTAAAAGCACAGAGCTGGTAAAAATGACCAGGTCCTGGATTTTTCTTCCCAATCAACACTGCCAGTTCTCACAGTTGAGAGGTTTATCTGAATAAGATAAAAAATTATACAGCTTCCCCCAAGAACACGATGTTAGAATATATATGTTGGAATTAAACAGGGATTTCTTTCTTGGTGCTGTCTTTGCCTCCAGATGGAATGGATGTGATTAATGTAGACCCTACACATCTCTGCTGTTGACATTACTCCCTGCCTCCTGCTCCCCTGTTACCACTACTGCCGAGACCAGCTGAGGCTGCCTGGCTATTAGCTGAAGAACTTTAACTTTGGGCAAATTAATGCATCAAATGTCTCATGAGAAGGTCTGGCTGTCTGGAATTTTCCCTCTTGCCTGATCCAACAAAAGTGGGCCTTTTTATTTTGAATTATTTAGGGCATTTAGTAAACATGTATGGTTCAAATGTAAGAAATGAAGAAATGTAAGGATGCATGCATTCACCAGCCTAGTGTCTGGCACACCAGTCTCACCTTATGGCCCCTGAGAGACATTTCCAGTGTATTTATTATTCATGTATTTATCCCAGCATACTTGCTGAGTATTGAAAAGGTCCCAAGAGTTGTGTTAGGTGCTGGAATCCATCAAGGAATTAGGAGATAGCCTCTGCTCTCAGGACTCATTAAGTAGAGAGCGGGATGTAGAACAAGAACACAGCATACCTACTTTCCGCAAAATCGAACTGGGGAAAAAAAAATTAGATTGGCCTCCAATACCAGGAAGAAAGCTCCTTGCTGAGACCCATCACTGGTAAACCCACAAGCCTGACCAGATGCTGTAGCCTTTAAACAATAGATTGGCACAAACAGTGAATGCGTTCACATGCACGTATTTAAGCATTGACTCAAAAGTAATAGGATTTGTCTCAACATAAGCCAAAAATTATCTAAATACAAGAGAAATAATTGCTTCTGGGAGCGAGCCTGCCTGGTACTTAACTGTTCTTGCCTAAGACTGGCTCAAACCTGAAACTGAATATTGTTCTTATTCTTGGAGGATTGTGTTTACTCCAACTAATTCCAATCTCTGTGATTATTCCTTTCCCCCAGGTAACGACTGCTCTGTCTTCAGTCACGAGCTTCCTAGTTACATTAAAGATAATTTTGAATCAGCAAGAGTCACTGAAGCCAACTGGGAAACAATTCAGGGTGGTGTCATCGGAAGTAGCTGTGGGCAGCTGGTGCCCTATGCCCAGGAAGACTCACTTTACTTTAATGGTTGTCAGATAAGGCAAGCTGCCACCAAGCCACTAGATCTCCCTCGAGCAAGGTAAGCAAACCCTGTGCCATAGACACAGAACTAATCACAAGCCCAGATCTGATCATGGACTTCATGCAACAATGTTCACTAAGCAAGGGAGACTGAATATCAAAGAATCATTGTATGTTTTAACAACTCAAAGCTATCATTGTGTAAAATTACGATAGTTGGCTTTGTTATTTCTTCCCACACATACTAGCTGCATAGATAAAACATGTCAACCATAGTAGTGGCGTAAATAAATATAATATGAAAAAGTTTATAAATGCAAATACCTATGTTTAGCCCCAGTAAGTTTAACAAATAGAAATAAAGGATGATAAGATCTTTATTATTAATGCAGAAGAAAATGAGCAGAAACTGTATACTATATATCATGTCTATTATATAAGTGACGCAGGACAGGACCTTGACAGGGCTGACTTTCTTCCCCATTTCCCATCCTCAGCCATTCTGTCAGAGCCAGAGTATGGGTAACAATGTGAAGGTTTAAAGGGACCACAAAGCCCTGGACTAGAGTACCCACTGAATGGCGGCAAGAGCTCAGAAACCACATGGTTATCTGAGGGCTAGATGCGTAGTAACAGAATGTGGTGATTAACCTGAAGAGTCAGGTTTCCTTGACTCCCATGTACTGATGCAAATAGTCAGTGAACAGTTGCGCACCATGTTACATAAATAATATATATATTCCTTATTTATTCTAAATGTAATCACTCTGTTAGGCACTAGTAACCTTATGGGGAGATGTTTCTATGTTAAAATCCATGTCTGCAGGCTGAGGAGTTGGCTCAGTGGATAAAGAGTCTGCCTTGAAAGCATGGCAACCTGAGTCTAGATAGCCAGAATGCACATAAAGTGCCAACTGTAGAGGTACACCTATAATCCTCGCACTAGAGGGTAGAGACAGAAGGACACCAGCCATTGCTAGATAGCCAGTGTAACTGCATCAGTCAATCCCAGGTTCAGTGAGAGACCCTGTCTCAAAACAGTATGGTGGAAAAGCTCTCAAAGACAGCTCACATCGACTTCTGGCCTCCACACACATATGTACACACACACACACCCTTATAAATGCATAGAAACACACTGCACAGGCATACACTCACATGCACACACAAAGATCTATGTCTTCTAAGCATGCAGATGTCTGTGGAATGCAAAGAGGCATCTATCTGAAGGACGGGCCTGAGCCTGAACCGGCATGCTCCAGCTTTCCCTCATCTAATCTCCAGAGAAACTTTCCAGAAATACACATGATGATTTATCCTTGTCCAGCTGCTGTTCAGCTTGGAGCCATTTATAAATAAGCATACAGTATACATGTTGTGTTTGTGTTCTGTGTCCTCGGCTGCTTTGCCTGGATTACTGTTTAGAGAACAAAGGGTATTTGGGAGAAAATATTCTAAACAAATTTCCAGCATCATAAAAAGGGACACACATTTGAAAGTTAGAGCTGTTTATTCTTACCGGTTTGTATTATACAGTCAGCCCTTAGTAAGCATGGGGGATTAGTTCCAGGGTCCTCCTGGATACTCAGCTCTCTCTGATGTTGGACTTTCTTTTAGCCTGTGCTAATGCTTCTGTGTGATTTAGATCGTGGTTTACAGTGTCCAGTACAATGTATAGACTATGCAGATGGGTGATACACTAGGTTGCTTGAGGAATAGCAAAGTAGGTAAAGGCTGTACTCATTCAATAACATGCTTTTCTGGAATATCTTCGGTGTGTAATTGATTGAATCTTCAGATGTGGAACTTATGGAAGACCCAACTGTATTATGGCCCCAGGGATTATGGACTTTAGGAAAAACAAAGATTAAAAGCGTCCTCCTCCTTAAACGTTTTCCAACTCTCATCTAAAGTTGATTCCCCTGTATTTTTTTTTTCAGGAAAATTATCTTTGTCTTGCAAATTGGGAGCACAGCACAGACAGACAGTTGCAACAGTGACCTCAGCGGCCCCCACACCGTAGACAAAGCAGTGCTGCTGCAGTACAGCGTGAACAATGGCATAACCTAACACGTCATAGCTCATCACCAGCTGAAGGACTTTACACAAGCTCAGCGGGTGTCTTACAACGTCCCCCTGTAAGCAACATTAAGGGAAATGCGTGTCCTCCTGCCTGCTCAGTAACTCACTGAGCATGACACGGAAGCTGGGTGGTTATTGGGTCAATGCCGTGAACCTAGGCAGTGACAGAGCCAAGACATCCCATACCACCAACATTGTATTGCTGTTTTCCATAGGTCCAGAGGCAGATAACTAAGCAAGGCAGAAGAGCAAGGGGGAATGGATGGAGGGCTAAATGCAAAGACACTGTACATGTCTTTCTTCCTTTAAACAGTCTTTCTGATCCTTTAGAGAACAGCAGCAGTGAGTTTCTGTTTGGAGCCACTGTTGGGGAATCTGGAGAACATGCATTCATATCACCATTGCTTGGCCTTGTTTACCCAGCTTCTAGCACAGGGTCTGTCACAGGAAGCATTTTATGCTTGTTGATAAACACATTGCTCTTCCAGATACTCTTAGAAGAAAGGGAAGGAAGGAAGATAGACCACTACTACCTGCCTTTTAAGACACTGATTTAATACTGCTTAAACAAGTACTAGGCACTAGGCAGATCTGAATCCTATGTGCAACATTTTCTTGTCTTGAGTTAGCCTGTTAAAGCATCTGAAATCTGAAGCTCACCTACCAGAACAAAGGTCCTCCTTACCATAAACGGTTTCCTAAACATTCAGCCTCTGTGTCCTTCTGTCTGTAACCCAGAGAAGCATGGATGAAAGGGGTTTCACTGCACTGGTGGCAACCATGCCACAACAGAACAGGCCATGATCAACGGGCTCTGGACCATGTGGAGGATGTCCTGTGAGTATCTGCTACTTAGCGTCCTCCATCCATTTTAGAAAGGTTTGAAGTTCCTTTTACCTGGCATGGTCCTTAATTCAGTAAGAAGTAGACTTTATGAAAAGGTCCCCACAGGGCCACTGTGGCTAACACTTTTTCAGCAACTGCAGGCTATGGTTCAAGTCAACAATCAAGTGTAACAAAGCCCTGAATGTAGTTTGGTGGGCTTTAGAAAGCTTCGATAAGTAAAATGTTTATTTAAGGGTTGACAGGATTGATCAAATTCAACAAAACAGAAGTCTTTGGGGAAATGGGAAATAACATTCCTGAAGGAATCTCAGGTCTCAGCCTAAACTTAAAAATTAACTTCTCCGGAGACATGTTCTGGGAGAAGCACATTCCAAAGACTTACACACACAATCCAGGAGAAGGGCAAAAGATCAGAGAATTGAAAGGTTATCAGGAAGCTGGGCCCTTATCAAAATAAACCTGGGTAAACAGGAGCTGTGGTAAGATAAACTTAGCTAACATTCATTGTCATAGATAATGTGCAAATGAGTTGCCAAGAAACCTGGTGTTGGAGCAGCCTTTGAGGTCAGCCTTTGTGGTTAGCATTGTCTAAGAGGTGATTGTAAGACTGCCCTCATAAACCCTGTGAAAACTGTATAAAAACTGCTCTTAGCTTTCAGGGATTCCTCTAGCCTGCATGCGGGGAAACCCCAGTGCACTGGATCAATAAACCTCTTGCTTTTGCAATGAGCCTCCTGTCCGTGAGTGTTTCTGTGGGAGCGCGTCTTCCTGGTTTGGATCTCAGGGTCCAACAATCTGGGTTGCCTTACAAAATGAAATGGCCTCCTAAAATAATCATCTATGCTGGTCTATATACAGAGCATCCATGGTGGATAAGCCCATGGTGAAGACCTATATCAGCCCTAGAGGCATTCTACAGGTAAGGTTTTGGTTGTAGCTAGAACAGAGACTCTGTGGTTTCACATTGCTCCTGACCAGTCCCATCACCCAACAAGTGCAGGGTGTCCTCCCCCTTGTTTGTTTGTCCCCTGTGAAAGTGAGGTCACCACTCTCCTCTGTCTAGGTTGACTGTTCCTTGCAAAGAGATGACCTGCTTTTTCTCTAACAATCTAGTTCCTGTAAAACTGGAATGCTTATGTCTCGGCGGGTTCGAACTGGTGGCTCCAATCGGTTGTCAAGGAGAGGCGAATCTTCTCAGTAGATAGGTTCAAATGTTCATTCTGTTTACCAGACCCAAAATGAAATCAGTCTCATAGCTGATTTCAATCATTTTGAAACCAAATTTCAATTAATTGGTAGGAGAATTACCAGATTTTGTTTTCTTTCTGTCATGGCCGTGAGCTGAATTCTGCAGTCTTGAGCTAGCCTTTATCCTGGCTGTCACTGAGGCACCTACTTGCATGGCATCCATATCAATCCCAATTCCAAGAGCTACCCAGTCCCCACACAAGCCCCCACTGTGTGCTCTGCTGCTTTTTGATCACTTGCTGAGCTCTGCCTCTACAGGACAGAAATCTAAGTTTAAAGGAATAGTCAGATCCTTGAATCTAAACGTGAGGCTGGTATTTTACTTAGATATTAGTTTTTTTCCAACTACATTATTCTAGGAGGGTAGAGTAACTTGGGCTCTTAAAGACTGTAAACATACACATGTATGTATATTAACAGTGAGGGCATAGAGAATGTCCAAGTAGACCAGAATCTAGTCCTAGAGCCATTGTGCCTTGACCTCTCTCGGAGCAGAGAGACCCCATCTGACTGAAGCTCAGAATCTCTGGGGAAGCTGGCCTTCCTCTGAAGGATTAGCCTTGTCTGCACTAGGAACTGTGCAGACTTTATGGGAACATCAGATGCTTCTTGGGAATTAATCCAGAATCAGCAACCACATCTTTCAAGCCTTCCACCAAGACCACTTGCATAAACAGCATTACCAACTCCCCTGGAAACTTCAAAAGTCGCCCATTCTCAACAGAAAGCAGGACACTAACTCTGCCCTGGGTGCATGCAAGACTCCTCAGCATAGCATACGTTTGAGTAGATACTTTCCACTCCCACCCAGATAAGCCACTGCCACCATCTAGAATATTCTATGTTGGCATGAAGTAACCCCTTCACAACTGGGAAACAAAACTCAGTTCCCTGTTGACCTGCTGCCTCAGGGGCTCTTAGAGTTCTATCAGGAAACCTTCCTGCCTGCCCCTAAGAGAACCTTCTGGAATACTTGGTATTGGTATCAATTTTTGTAAGCAACTACCAGCATCATGATACTGTCATAAGACTCAAAGCTTACTACATTCTGGAACTGTAGCCTGTATTATAAGACTTCATTTTTATTCAATCTCCAGAGTTTTAAGATTTTAAAGAATCTATCACTTGCCAGGCATCTCCTGTCCTGACCCTGTATCATAGTCTCAAAGCTTCAGGACACTAAGTCTTTTGAACAGGGACAGTACCAGCGCTCATGAGTGCTGCTGCATAGCTTGTCTCTCTCCACATCATTTTTTTCAGTGAATTCTTCAGATCTACAGTACATATAATTTTAGAAACCAATCATATCTTTTTAGTGAGATCTTAAAATATGTTAAAATTATAGGAGTACTTTATTTCCCTTGTTTTAGAAAAATTATATACTTCACAGAGTTCAATTCAATAAATGAATATATATATATATTTAAAGAATTCTATTTTTAGAGTTTCATATTTGGTATTTTTGCTCTGTTATTAAGAAATAATGTTTTTATGCCACTATAACATTCAAAGTATTTCCTTTTTGTAAGAATCATAAAAGTTTTAAAACAGTCATTATTATGTACTTGGTAGCTTTGCAATACAGTTTATCTGTTAGATGAATATAATAATATAATAAAAAGTTCCAGACAATTCAGAAAAATAAACTATAACAACCTGGATGTCCTTCAACTGTGTGAGATACACAGAATCTAGCTGAGGTGATTCATTTTATCTCATAAACACTACAAATTTTGCTATGGAAAATATGTATATTTAAGAAGTAGAATAGAACGCATTCATAAAGCCCCACTAATGGAATATATTTTCTTACTTAGCTACACTTCCCTATCAGAGCCTTTAACTGTGTGAGCTAGTGATGGTCAGCTCTCCACTATGGAGGAGACACACATGGGGACACAAATCCAACCTGATTTAACATGCAGACAGCACTATTAGCATGTTTTTGCAACATTTCAGTGAAATAACGTTTACAATGTATTTTCCTTTCCAAGTGACAGTTGCTTTGACCTAGCTTTGATGTCATAGTTTTACTTTTGTATATATGTACCAAGGACACATGCTAAAACCCCTAGAAAGAAAAGCTGTGACCATGCATGGTATCTCACATTGAGTAATGTCCACACTGCCTGTATTAAACAAGGACATACGAGTTTGGTGAGAACAAATTCAACACCTTTGGAAAACGTTTCCAGATATAGGGGAACTTCTAAATGAACATGACATATAATATATTCTTAATGTTTTAATTCTAAAAGACTATCTGTGGAAAGATTTGAGCATCATAAACATAACAAAATGACCAGCCTCAAACTATAAAGACAGAAACGTCCCTTTTAGCAGTTAACAAATGAAGTTCTTGTGCTTATTTAAGACTGTAATATTCTCTTGTTTGCCAGTAAAGCCTGTACATGGAAGCCTCTGTCATGGCTACTCCCTGCTAATCTGTCTGCATTGAACTGGCAGATTAGGTCTTTTTCCAGCCTCACTAGTTCACAAAAAGACTTCATTCCATAAAGTCTAAATGGTATAGCATAACAGTCATTACCAACCAGGAGAATCTTAATTTTTCTGAGCTCCCTTTATAACATAGGGTGTTTTTCAATAAATGTTTATGAAGACACTTGGGCAGATCCCTCACAAGATTCATGCTGGTGGTAGGATGCTTCTTAGGGTGCAAGAGAATCTGTTGTCTTATCCCCTTTTGTTGGGCACTCAATGCTTCTCACCTAAGAATCTCCCTCACCCAAACGTGCATTCCATTCACAGATCACATTCATGTGTGTGTCTCAGTCACGGCCTGTCATGTGGTTAATGAATTGGGCCGATTTTTGCATGTGCACCTTGAAAGCAAATCACTCAGTAAAAAGTTAGCCTTTGTGAACTGACTTAGTAACAAGCAAATTGTTGCCACATTTTTTGAAAACTGAAAACTAATATGTTGCTAACTTTGCCTTTAAACACATTTATCAGATTTTAATATAAGTTCCATCATGACCATCCTCTCTTGCTATTCATCGTCAAGATACTGTCACATTTTTGGCACAATGATTTATGAAGATGAGCACTTTATGTTTCTTGCAAAGCAATATTTTTCCTTTATTAAATTTGACTATCTTATCTGATGTAGAAGGCTTCTCCATTTTTAAAGCCCATTCCTTAATCTCATCGGGTGTTAATAGTACCTAAAATGTAAATAATTAAGAACTCAGATAAAATTTACAATAGAAATTAAATGATTAATATTTATACTTTATATGTAACATTTATGCCAAATGTAGTGTTATAGCTACATGTACCTTGACATATGGTTATGAGCAAATATTGCATGTTTCATTACATTAAAAGTTAAGCATATCTCTATATTGGAGATAGAAGGATAAGGAATAACATGTTGAATTTTTATTTTCACAAAAGATGAAAAATCCTATATTGTACCTAAGCCCAATCAGACTTTTATGAGTAATCACAGTGCTGGATGTGATGAGAAGCATTTTTAACTTGTATTATATTTCATTATTTGCTGTTATTGGTTTTCTACTAAGGTAGGTCATTGTCACTACATCGGGAATACTGTTATCTGTTCAGTTTTGCAGTTTTACCAAAGCTAGCTGAGAATTTCTGTAGAGGACCCTTCTCAAGTAAAAATTTTCTAGAAAACCAGTTATGGATGATACTGAGATACACTGACAGAATGTTCAACATTCAGATAAGTTTGCCAAATTAGCCAAAGTCTGGGATATTGGATACAGCAGCATAGGCTGGAGGGTGTGGTAGTCGGCATTCCCTCGTAGGCCAAGCATGCCGGGCTCCGTATTAGACATCACTGAAGCGCTCATGGCTAATAAACTCCTTATTAGGAATTACTCCATATTCAAATGTATGCAAAAGATCTCAAGTCTGTAGCTAATGTCTTTCAAAAGATTTGTTGGGCAGGGGAAATGCACAAAGGTACCTTCGCTTACCAATTTTAATTTAGTAATTGACAGAGAGGTGCTTTGCTCTTGACACTTACAAATTCTGGATCCAGCCTATTGATAAGATGCGTCACCTTTCTATTTGTCCTCTGATTCACCAGCTTCAAGACTTGAGACTAAAATGGTCCAAAGTAAATATGCATTTGGTGTTAAGGTTTTTCATTTAATCCTGGAAGTTTCCCGAGGTGTGTGGTCAAATATCATCCTCATTTCCAGTTAGCAGAAGGGAAATCTGAAAGTCTTGGGGTCTCAGGCATTTATAACTCCACTTACTGATGTGAACCATTCCCAAAAGTTTCTGTCCTTCATCTGTGCTCTGGGGTCAGTTTGAATTGTGATATCTATCCTCAAGTCACCTGAATTTCTCTGAAAGATACAGCTATAGTCACTGGATTCTTATTTCTGCCTTCAGATAAATTATTGTTTGTTGTATCACATGTTGAAAAATATTGAACTTCTGACCAGTAAGATGCCTACATTTCTATAAACTCAACTTCTTCTAATCTTAACTTTTTCCATATCCTTTAGAATCTGTCTTTCAAAATCAGATTAAATTTATTTTCATTATAATAAATGAGCTAATACTGTAACTCCAGTAAAAAGTAATGGTTCAAAAGAAGATAGGATCACAAATTCCTTAAAGATCTCACAATCTCGATATTTTCTGTGCCAAATCAGGGATGTATCTTCTAATTCCATATGTCATCTAAGTCTTCAGAAATCCCTGCAACAGAGGGAATTTCAGTCAGCATTTACTGGAAACCGCTGCTCACTCTCCCTTCTTTCAATGAATTACATTTGATGAGTTATTTCAGCTACTACCTACAATCAGAGCGGATTGGTATGCCCAATGCTAGAATGTGCCTCCAGATGAGCATCACTGCTCATATTGAACTTATACTAAAAATCACTTTCCCCAGTAGTTGCAGTAAGAAATGAATCTTATGAACTCAGTTGTACCTACTATGGCACTGTCTATAGCACGCCTCTGCATGCATCGAAAGCAAAAATACACAAAATAGACCAATGCAACATTTTTAAATGTGTTCAAAACTCCTAAGATTAAAACTCCTCAAATACACAGTCTTGTAAACTGGATGCTTTAGCAGACAGAGTAGCTGCTTACTATTCACATAGGGTATTGAGTGGGCCTAGAGTCAAACATTGTTCTGTCCTGACCATCCCATGGGACTTGAACAGGCAGAGGAGCTATAAAATTCCACTTCATTAAACTGCAGTGCAAAGGACTCAGAACCAAGTTCCTAGTTAGCTATAAGCATGCTTTGAAAGTGCGGCTGCTTCCATACAAGTATATAAACATTAGAGAGCTGAAGCAGACAAACTTCCTTGTGCCTATCAAGATTCATGGGAATCCACAGCTATGAAACACAAACTGAATCAAATCCACTGGGCCCCGTGAATTAGAACATCCCCTAAATTGAGTTTAAGTCTCTTTAAAAATCTACAGCATAAAGATGGAAACTTCAAAGCAGTGCCATAATAAAGTAACTTCAGTAGACTTTGCTTTGAGACTGTTAACAACTTCAGTTAAAGTTAAGCATGTCTTTTCTCACATCTGCAGGGTCACCGTCACACCATTCTAAGTTGCAATGAGATAACTAAGTATCTTGCTTGTTTGGCAAGCAAGATATGTAAATATGTAAAATTTTTAACCATTTTACATTTGAGTACTTTGTCTTTGAACGTATCCTGACAGAATAATTTCATTGCTTTAACTCTGCAATTAGTCCTTCTAGTTAAAGAGTAATGATTTACAGCAGGAGTCTAATCTGTAAGTCTACAAAGGCTTAATATAATAGCATGCCTTGACCACCCACAGGTCAAGCAGGAGGTGCAGGGCTGTGGCTGAGGGTGGAGAGAGCTGGACCACAGGCCCCCATATTATCAGAAGCTTACATGTGGGGAGCCACACTCTGCAGGAAATGAGGGCTGTGGGGGTTCAAAACAGAAAAAGGAAAGAAAGACAAGAAATCCCTGCTGAGGGGTGCTGTGAGCACAAAGGAAATGTGATCCTGGACCCACAAATAGAAACTGAGGGCATGGTGCCGGAGGATGCCAGTGAGGCTGGCATAGACTAAGAGGCCGCTTTGTGTAGAGCAGTCTACATAGTGGTGGATGAGAGGAAAGGATCTGAAAAACAATAGGTTTAATCAGGAGGGGGACATGAGATGCGTGCTGTCACTACTTAGATGCTGTTATGACATGTAAGTTATGGATACATTTTTAATAAACAAAGCCAACCTCTGAAGAAAAGATTCCTGAGAGTGGGGTATAACTAACTATTTTGTGTATGTGTGCATGAGGCCTGGCATACATGCATACAATCTTAGCATGAGGCCCGGTATACATGCATATAATTTTACAGTTGTCTTAAGTGTAAATCGTATGCTTCACAGCATGTCATAGTTTCTTTTCAGTGGAGAATAGAGACACAGAAATTGGTTTAGGGACCATTGTGATAGTGCAGAGGACTTAGGGTGACTTCATATGCCGGCAAAAAGACACCAAGGGCCAGTCCCAAGATATAGCAAATAAAAACAGTAACAGTATTAGTTTCTCTAATACTTAACTAGCTCAAGGCACTAGGTCACTGTCCACTTACAAGACTGCTCACAGCAGCTGATAAGTGTGGGCATGTTTTCTTCACCCTTTCACTTTGGCACTGATGCTGATTGACATAAAATTATCACCATTACTGGCAAGCAGAGGGTGGTTGTGACCAAAAATCAAAATCACACACACACACACACATTCTGTTTCTCCAAAATATCCTTTGTGGATATTCATTTTGGCTTTGTAGTTACTAATATCTTGATAATATGGAAATCCTAAGTAGAAAGACATTAGCAGTTTGCTTTTTATAAAATATGCTTGTTTTGCACCTACCTTTTTATCAGGGTCTCAAGACAGATATTGTTGCTTCAGAGCTATGTCTGTGTTTTCCTTGAAAGTCTTACTATAAATCTATTCAAATGATTAACTGTCACTACATAAAATTCTCTCAGTTTAAAGTTTTCCACATTTTTATAGCTAAGTAGAGTGCCTAGACTATATTGTTTAAAAAGCATTATTTTATACCTTGTGAGAATTGGATTATTGATAAGATTATCCTTTCCCTTTATCCTAGCTCATTGATCTTATGCTGCCCTTGATGGCAGAATCATATCACTGGCGTCATCTCTCTCTGCACATATTAAAGAGACTTAATTCATTTGGAAGATATCGCTAGCTTTCTATTCAAATCACATATTGATGCCACATATTGCCCTTCAGATCAGTGAATGAAAATACAATTCTCATCTCAGTGACGTTACAGATCATGAACCCTAAAAAAAACAGAGTGAGAGTTGGGGTGCTTTCCCTCTAACCCCAACACTCTTGAAGTAGAGGAAGGGGAAGTCTGAGGCCAACCTTCGCAAAACAGCAAAACCCTGTCTGATTTTTTTAAATCTATTTTTCATGCTACAATGTTAGCAGCTGTCACTAAAACTATCATTTAATTTGCTAAGGATCCTAATATCCATCTTCAGTATATTTATCAGCTTCACATATAGTACATGTAGGTGTGTGTGTGTGTGTGTGTGTGTATAGGGGAGAGTATATATACACATACATATGGTTATATGTTCTCCTGCATTTCGTAAGTATTTTATGGCCTCCTTTTTAGCATAGAGCCCCTTTCAGTAAGACATGATTATCAAATACAACCCGAGTTCTGATTGAAACAGACAGTGGAAGGCAACATCTTCATTGTGCACCCTGAGAGTGAACCATCTAGGAAAGTCCAGCTTGGTCTTCCAACAAAGCTTTTGTTTTTATTTTGACCCTTTAAGCTTGAAACGAAAATGTTAACTAATGTAACTGAATTGCTTTTGCTATGTTTGTTTGTAAATAAGGTAATGAGTATAGTATGCACGTCCTCTGGAGGAGACTCAGTGGGGAGATGTGTTCAGGTCCTGAAAAGAAAAGGACTTCAGGGCCAAAGGTAGTGAGGCAGGTGTCCATCTAATTATTCTGATCTTAGGTGGTGAAGTCTGCATGACTCCTGAACTCTGAAAATGTTCAGATCTATAGCAGGCTACCTTGGGACCTTAGAATAGACCATATGTTCATTGATGGGACTGACATGCTCTTTATCCTCTCCCTCCCATCCTGTACCCTTCTTGTGGTTACTAACAGCACTCGCAAACAAAATTACACGATGCATTTTTTCACGACAACATGGGCTCAGGCACTTCTACAACAGAGGATGAAGGTCGCTTAGGCGATGCCCATGAAGAATCCACGTTTATTTCCCTTTCCAGTATACAATGTGTCCCTTCCTGGTTTTTTTTTAAACACCTCTCACTGCATCCAATATCAGGAAACAAAGATGAAGGACCTGGCTAACAGAAAGCCCTTCGAGACCAAGTGTACCTGACCTTTCCACACTGTGAGCTAATGATGTGCAGCTTCTCTGCACATAAGCAAATGTCTTCACGTCAGTGCATCCATGGACATTGTGATCTGTTGTAATATCAGTTACAGTGGCAATATTGAGAATAAGAAATGGCTTAACATGAAAAAAAAAGTTTAAGCACAAAAATTTTTAAAGACTTTATGTTTTAAATGGCATTTTAGCACAGTATTTAACATTCTGGGTCACCGAGCTATTTAAGAAGACTGTCTTTCATCTTTGTCTCTTGTTTTATATGATTAAGTTGTCATCATTTGTCCTTTATGTATCCTCCTCTACCCTATAACACACTGAAACTGTATCTACTTGCTGTGTTGCATTATTTTGCTGCTGGACTTTGACCAACTTGTATTATGCAGAAAGTTAATTCAGATATCATATTCAAGATGATAACTGTAAAGACACCGCTAACTCCTTTAATATGCCCCTTAACATGTATGTTGATGTAGCATCATTTTGTGGATAGGAAAAAAATGTTTGACCTTCAGATATTTTCTACTTAAAATAATTGTGAATGAATACCCTATCTCCTCCTATCTCTATTTGCAGCTTGTTTGCGTTCATTCCATTTTTATACTGTGTGTGAGAGTGAGAGTGTGCATGTGGAGGTCGGGGAACAACTTGGGGTGCTGGTGTTCAGTCAGTTTCCACATTGTTTGAGACAGTCTCTTGTTGCTCACTGTTCCACAAGCCTGTCTAGCTGGCCCATGAGCTTCTGGGGATTCTTCTGTCTCCACCTTCCACTTTACAATAAGCACAAGGGGGTCCCTGATAACTCATCTGGCTTCTATGTGGGTAGTCAGGGTCCAAGCATACCTCCTCACGCCTGCACAGCAGGCTCTTAATCCATAGGCCATCCCCATTGTCTTTCTTTTTTTTTCTAAGTAAGTCTCACACATAACTTACCAGCCAAATCACACCTGCAAAAAGGTGTCAGATGTTGCTAAGAGGTTTTTTGTTCCATTGTTGGTAACATCAATACAAGGCCACACTTTCAACTTAGCCGTTTCTCTTGAGTGTGTGTCTAGTGATGAGTGTGTGTGTGCCCATGTGCGCAAGTGAGAGGCCACGTGTCACTTGTCAAGTGTCTTCCTCCATCTCTCGCCATCTTCTGAGATTCTCAATGAACCTAGAGCTCATCATTTTGGTTAGACTAACTGGTCAGTGAGCTGCAGAGGTCTGCGTGTGTCTGTAACCCTACCCATCATTGAAGCCACACGCAAGCCCCTGAGCTGGGAAGATGAACTGTTTCTCACACTTTTGCAGGAGTCAGCTGATCGCAGGCTTCTTGCTTCCATTCCCCTGGAAACCACCATCCTGCTCTGAGTTTCACTCATCCTAATTCCACATTAGCTGATGTTTTTAAGACACAAATAGGAAGGTTGAAATTTTATGTGTCAAGAGCTACATACTCCCAGCACTCAGGAGGCAGAAGCAGGTAGGTCTCTCTGAGTTTGAGGCCAGCCTGGTCTGCAGAGCTAGTTCCAGGACAGTCAGGGCTACACAGAGAAATCTTGTCTGATTTAAAAGAAAAAAAAAAAAAGCCAACAAAGATGAAAAAAGAAGAACCCTTTTTACATCCCTGCAGGGGATGTAATCCAATGCAGTCACCATAGAAATTTGTTTGTAGATTCAAAAAAAAAAAAAAAAAGGCGGGGGGTAACAATGTGGCCTAGAGAAATGACTCAATTTTTATTAATTTCCAATAATTACAATTTAAGTATTCTTTCAGAACTGGAGTTTGGATGTCCGGTCTCTGTCTATCAGTCCTCCATAGACAGAAGCTTGGAAAGACCCAGCAGCTCTGCAAGCATGGCCAGTGACTTTAGAAAACAGAGGAAGAGGGAACCTGCAGTGGGCCCACCCAGGGTCTTGGGGGATCAGAGTTCGAGCAGGACCAGCCCCAGCCAGGCAGTCCTCCCAGGGTGAAGTTCCACCTTTTTGAAGTCTTTCATTAGCTCTTCTCCTTCCTCTCCCTCAAGAGTACAAGATCACGAGTCCCCAAGAAGTTATTCATCTACTCTGACTGACTTGGGAAGAAGTGTACCACAGGAACGAAGAGGAACTCCAGAAAAAGAGAAACTGCCTGTAAAAGCTGTCTATGATTTCAAAGCTCAGACATCTAAGGAGACACTGTCTATATCCTCAGGAAAATTGACCAAAACTGGTATGAGGGGGAGCACCACGGAAGAGTGGGCATTTCCCCAATGTCATATGTAGAGAAACTAATGCCCCCAGAAAAAGCGCAGCCGGCGAGACCACCACCCCCAGTCCAGCCTGGAGAGACTGGAGAAGCCATAGCCAAGTACAACTTCAATGCAGACACAAACATGGAACTCTCCCTGCGAAAGGGCGACAGGATTCTTCTTCTTAAAAGAGTTGATCAAAACTGGTACAAAGGTAAGATCTCAGGAACCAACAGACAAGGCATCTTCCCCGTTTCCTACGTAGAAGTTGTCAAGAGGAACACAAAAGGTCCTGACCCTCCTCTACCCCACAGCTACTCCAGTGATAGAATCTACAGTCTAAGCTCCAATAAGCCACAGCGTCCTGTGTTCTCTCATGAAAACATTCAAGGTGGGGGAGAACCGTTTCAGGCTCTGTATAACTATACTCTTAGGAATGCAGATGAGCTGGAACTCAGACAAAGCGATGTCGTCGATGTCATGGAAAAGTGCACTGACGGATGGTTCATGGGAACTTCAAGAAGAACCAAATTCTTTGGTACTTTTCCCGGAAACTATGTCAAAAGGCTGTGACTCACCTCACTCCTAATTAAGGCCACATTTCAGCCACACATCTGCATTAACCCACCTGAAACATCCCAGCAGACCTGTTGCTGCCATGCCTTATGGTTCTCAGTCAGCCATTACCATCTCCACCTGCTGCCGCCACCAAACCACCAGCAAAGGGACTGCCACTGTGAGTCTTAGGAAGGCTGGGAGCTTTAGAGAAACGTGGCAAACTTACACCCACATAAATATTCAGTTTCCTGCTTTCTGCCCTGAACTTTGAAATGCCTATGTATGGAATCAGAACAACGTGATCATACTTTTAAAAAGTGAAATAATTAAGGAAGGAAGAAAGAGAAAAAAAAAGAAAGAAAGAAAGAAAGAAAGAAAGAAAGAAAGAAAGAAAGAAAGAAAGAAAGAAAGACTCTTCAGGAGACTCTCTGGTCTCATGGCTGAATCTCCACCTCTCTGGAAGGTACACTGTCCTCAGGAAGCAAAGCCAGAAGGTTGTTCTTTTTTTCTGAAATGCTATGGTTCTCATTTTCACTCTAAGCTTGGCAGTATATTTTCCTTTCACGAGTTTGCCTAGTGCTCTGGTTTACACTATATGACAAGTATACTTTGGCTGTTGTTTGCCTGCACTTTTTCTACGTTGTCTCATGCACAGTGATTACAAAATCAGGAGCCCGTAGGAACGTTCCCTGGGACGAGTGTGATTTTTGTAGACTGCATTACATTTTCACACGGGGGTCTTTTCCCTGCCCGCTTTTTTTGTGCTTATTAGAAGTGCAAACAGCAAGCAGTTTGGTCACTCTTATGAGACTACAAAAGGCTTAGCCACACTACAGGACAAATCGTGTTGTGAATTCACAGTGCTGCTTTTGTGTATTAAAATGTAATCATCAGCATTGTGAACAACAAGTTCTTAGTGGTTTATTTACCTGTTAAAACTTAAAAGCAGTGTTAGTGAGTTAGGCAGAAGAGATGAAAGTAATACCAGTAGGTAGGTTTCACTGCGTGCACACTTACACATTTGAGATTGTATGAGGACGTATAGCTCATATGCTATTTGTACATTTTATGGAAATATAAAAGAATACCACATTATTTTACAGAGTACTTCAGGGGGATCCTGAGTGTTAAGGCTGGCTTTAGCAAGGGTTATGATCAATACAACTATTTTTACTACAATAAGTATTTTTCTTCTATAAGACCCAGAATCCTGACTCCATTTGCAGACAGGAATATATATGTTGAGCTTGATTTTTTTTCTTGTGTGTGTAAAATACTTCCTAGGAATACATTGGGCACTTTTGGAAATAATGGTTAAATCACTCAGGTTGTGTTTCCTGCCCCCAAAACAGATCTACAAAATGATACCAAACCTGAAAGACTTCATGAATTTACGGTGCCTGCATTCCACACACCCTGAGACTTAGCTTTGTATTTTGAATGAATTTGCATAAGACCTATTCATCCTTAGCACCTTATAGACAAACTGTTTTATGGCTTTCCTCCCGTGGGCAATGCTTGATCTTACACAACATATAAATTCTAGCATATTTTGTACATATGTTTTGTTTTCTTTTCCTTTCTTTTCTTTTCTTTTCTTTTGTACAGACTATTTACTTGTTCAGAAAACAGCGAGATCTCCCAATTTGTTCTTTATCCTGCACTTAAAGGAGATTAAACTTTTTCAGCAGAACGCCTTTCATGATGTCTTCACAGATCACAAGCTAATGTGAATCTGGAAGATAGCATCTGCACAAAATTCTGTGAATCGGAAAGATCTTTGTAACTAATCTGAAATACACATAAATGCCCGTTACAGAGGAGCATTGTTGGGGGCAGGAGGTAAAGAAACATCTTAGAGAAATCCACTTTACGATCCAGTTCACAACCAGCTTTATATGAGAAAAACTTGGGATTGGAAAATCAGTCAGCCGGTCAGCCACATGCAGCTTTGCTGATAAATGAATACTTTTTCACACCATTTATGAAAACAAATCTTCAACTCTGTTGCCTGTTATATTTAAGAAAAATTGCTGTTTATACTTTCTGTATCTGATTTTAAAAGGAAAAAGAAATA